CCAGACTCAGCCCAGACACAGCCCAGACACAGCCTCACAAATGTTTCCAACCCAGCACTCATCCACCTAGAAATGAAACATTTCCCAAGCACTGTTCAGTACAAAGGCCAAGAACTTTAGCAAGACACAGAGGCCCTTCGAGACTTTGCTAATGCTTTTCCAGCCTCCTACAGGGGTGCGGAAGGAGCTCTGGTAGTGTAGTGGTTACGAATTGGGCTGCTAACCTCAAGCTCCGCAGTTCGAAACTACCAGCTGTTCCACGGGAGAAAGATGAGGTTTTCTGCTCCCATAAAGATTTGCAGCCCTGCAAACCCTGTGCAGGGTTACTATGAGTCAGAACCGACTCCACGGTACTTAACAACAACAACAGGGGTGTGGTGGGATAATGCACTGGACCACAAGGGAACTGAAGGAGCCATGGTGGTACAATGGTTAAGCGTTCAGCTGTTAATCAAAAGGGCAGCAGTTCAAACCCACCAGCTGCTCCTGTGGAGAAAGACCTGGTGATCTGTTCTGTGTAGATTGTTACGTTTCATAAAGTCAATTCCGTCTCAACAGCCATTATAGGGCAGAGTAGAGCTATGCTGTAATCTTTATGGAAGGAGCCCTGGTCATACAGTGGTTAAGCACTTAAATCAGTGGTTTAAATCCACCGAACAGCTCCTGGCGAGAAAGACCTAAGGAGAAATTTTTAGGAGATCTGCTCTCCTAAAAATTGTTACTTGCTGTCAAGTCGGTTTGACTCATAGTGACTTGATGCAGTTTCCAAGGAGCAGCTAGTGTGTTTAAACTGCGACCTTGTGGTTCTAAATCCAGTGCTAATCCTAGTATCACACCAGGAATCCCTCCTAAAGGTTAGAGCCTAGGAAACCCTGTGGAGCAGTTCTACTCTGTCCTACAGGGTAACCATGAGGCACAATCAAGTCAATAGCACACTACATAGAGAACTGTTGGTTTTTCACTAGTCCCTCAACGCTCTAGACTGTTCTAACAGCTCTTGGCCTAGTCAGTTCAGGCATCTCAGAGCCTTCCATCATTCCTCTCTTCAGCCTATCTGTCCTCTGTGCTGTGATGTGTATTGTTCCCAGCCACATGGTCCTCAAATTCTGTTCACAAGTCTCTCTCATTGGATTAAACATATTAAAGGGCAGAGACCTTGTCTTACTATTTCCAGCACCTCCTGCATAGTGGTTGGTGGTGTTAAGTGCCTTTGAGTCGTTTCGGATGCATAGTAACCATGTAAAGGGTTTCCGGGAGTCGCTGGTGTGTGTGAACGGCAGACCTTGTGGTTAGCAGTCAAGAGCTTATCCTGCAATGCCACACCAGGACTCCTTACGCTGGTGGATCAGAACCACCGATGCTGCAGTTCAAACCCACTTTTCGGTCCAGCGGTAGACGGCCCATACTTATTTGCTGACACTAACTGTCCACCAATGCAGCAGGGCACTGGAGATGAAACAGAAGCGTGCAAAGGCTGGTAGGTTTGAGGACATAAACTAATTAGCGTACTGATCAATAAAACGCATTCCCCTCTTGTCCCACTGTCCACTGTCTGGGTCGGCTTTTCCTTGCGCTTCTTCCGCGCCCACGATCAGAGAGCCTGGCCGCCCTGCCTTTGGCTCCATCCCTGCTCTGCGCTTCGTCTGTACTTCACTTTGGGGTCTGCCACTCCTACACTGGAAGCTCCCTGCGGGGAGGCCGCAGCGGTTGCCAGGGCAGGTGGTCGCCTCTCCCGAGCCCAGGCCCGGCCTGTCAGGCCGCCCCGCCTCCGCCCGCCCTTCCCATCCCGGAAGTCGCCGGCGGCTCTGCCCTCCCACGTGGGGCCTTTTCCGGTCCGCCCGCACCCGCCGGCTCTCCTTTCCGGAGTTGACCCTCACCTCAGGATCCCCAATGTGCCTCCGGACAGACATATTTTCTCCAACCGACCACGCTCGGGGTTCTAGCCTCACCGGCTGCCTCTAACCCTAGCTTCCTACCCCCACCACCTCTCTCAGCCGCCTCCCTAGAACCTCGCCTCCGATTGGCCTGACCTTGATGGCAGGCCAATGGCGGCCCCGTTTACTATCCGATTGCAGGGTCGAGCGAGCGAGCTTCGGCTCAATGGTTGCCCAGGGCAACGCGGGACGCCAGTGGCCCCGGGTCTTTTGTGCTCCGGGCTCGGCCCGCGGGCGCTGCAGCCCGGGCGCGGGAAGAGGGGCTCAGGGAGGGGGAAGGGCTCGAGAGCGGAAAACCAAACGCTGCCAGCTACTGGGCAGCGTGGATACAGCACAATACCCTTTCTTCACGTGTAAGGCCATTTTCGCCAAACATCTGGGCTACTTCTTCTACAATAGGGACTACAATACGGGGCAGAACTATTCAGCAGGAATGGAAACGTGTAGCTTATTATGTTCAGGTTAAGTTAATATGCAAATTATGCAAAACATCATGTGTAAATACAATAATTATTGTTGCTTTAAAAGCTTTTAGGCAGGCTAAAGAATGGCAGCTTTAATTGCAAAGCACACACACCATTCTGTGATTCATCATTCATTTAACAAATATTTAATAAGCACCTTATGGGGAAAGCTGCAGTAGGTTTTGTGGAGGATGGGAAGATGACTAAGACTCAATCCCGTCGTCATGGAAACCATTGTGACTCCTGCCACCAGCCACCACCTGTTCTTATTCCAGATCTGAAAATTAACTCCTAGCACCTTTACAAAACAATTACACACACAGTTTGACTTGGCTCCTTAATGTCCCATCAAATCCATCAAATTTATTATTTCTTTTTCTATGGGGGGGTGGGGGGTGGGACAACACATATGGGGGAAGACACAACACAGTAACCCTTTGTCCTTTGCTCTTAGTTGTTTTTCAGGAGTGGATGAAGATTGCCCTGAGCTGTTCGTATTCTCTGGCCCTCTACTTGGCCATATGAGCTACTTCAGGGTGCAAATGTCCCATTCAACATTCTGGCCACACAGGTCTTTGGCCTCTCAGGCACCTGAGCAACCTGCCCTAAGGGCCACATTTGGAATCACATTATCACTCAGCAGTTGCATGACCTCCAGGATCTGGAATTCTGGCCATCACTGTCTCTTGCACTGTTTCACTGTCTCCTACCTGCAGATTCTTCTCCTAACTTCCCTAAGGATCTCCAGTCTTTGTTGTTGTTGTTGTTGTTGAGTGCCAACCCATAGCAACCCTGTGTAGGGTTTTCAAGGAGCAACTGGTGGGTCTGAACTGCTGATTTTGTGGTTCAAACTGATCTTGGAGTCCTGCGCATTATTCCAGACCTTAGCTGTTATTGTTAAGTGCCATCGAGTTGGTTCCGATGTGAGTCTGTATAGGGTTTTCAAGGAAGATCTGGAACATTTGAGCCGCTGACCTTGTGATTCAACTCGAACTTGTGGTCCAGTACTTATCCTACAGTGCCACACCCAGGCTCCATTCCAATCCTTTGTTGTTGTTAAGTGCTGTCGACTTGGTTCTGACCCATGTTGTTGTTGTTAAGTGCCATAGAATCCGTTCCGCCCCATAACGACCCTATATAGGGTTTCCAAGGAGCAGCTGGTGAGCTTGGACCACCGACCTTGTGGTTCAAATGGACTTTGTGCATTAACCCACAGCACCACACTAGGATTCCTCCAGACCTTTAACCCCTAGCAATATCCCAGTCTCTCATCCCTCCACCTTAATTTCAAAAAGAAAAGGTTAACAACAAAACAACAACAAATGAAACTCATTGTCATTCGGTCAATTCCAGCTCATAGCTACCCTATAAGACAAAGTAGAACTGCCACGTAGGGTTTGCAAAACTTTAATCTTTATGGTATTAACTGGTCTTCCTTATTGTTGTTGTTGTTGTTGTCAGGTGCCATCCAGTCTGTACTGACTCAAAGCAACCCTATGTACAACAGAACGAAACACTGCCTGGTCCTGTGCTAACCTCACCATCGTTGCTACACTTGAACCCATTGCTGCTGCTATTGTGCCAATGATATCATTCTCCAGGGACTGGTCCTTCCTAATAATATGTCCAAGGTATGAAAGACGAAGTCTGGTCATCCTGGCTGCCAAGGAGCACTCTGGCTGTACTTCTTCCAACACAGATTGTGTATTGTTTTTGCTTCTGGCAGTACATGGTACTTTTAATATTCTCCTCCAATACTATATCTCAAGTGCATCAATGCTTCTACTGTCTTCTTTATTCACTGTCCAACTTTTGCATTCATATGAAGTTATTAAAAATACTATGGCTTGGGTCAGACACACCTTACTCCTAAAACTGACATCTTTGCTCCTCAACACTTTAAGAGGTCTTATGCAGCAGATTTACCTAATGCAATATGTCGTTTGACTTCTTGACTGCTGCTTCCATGAGTGTTGATGGTTGAGCTGAACAAAATGAAATCTTTGACAACTTCGATCTTTTCTCCATTTATATGTTATTTATTGGTCCAGTAGTGAGAATTTTTGTTTTCTTTATTGTGAGATGGAATGAGCCGGAACACAAACACCCACGTGTAAGGCTTTATTGAAGGTCGGGAGGAAAGAGAGCAAGAGAGAGAGTATTGCCGGGGTATGGACTTTTATACTGGTTAAAGAGGAGGGCCGGGTTGAGATTAGTGGAGGTAGGTGATAGGTTGACTAGGGATGACATGCAGGTAGGGAGAGAGGAATTTCTGGTATGTTGGAAGAGAGTTTCCGGGAGGGAGAGCTAAAGCTCAGCAAGCAGCCATTTTATTATGCACGTGGATGAGAGATTCTATCATTTATATTGAGGTGCAATTCATACTGAAGGCTATGGTCTTTGATTTTCATCAGTAAGTATTTTAAGTCCTCTTTACTATCAGCAAGCAAGGTTGTATTATCTGTATATTGCAAGTTGTTAATTAATCTTACACTAATCCTGATGCCATGTTCTTCTTCATATAATCCAGTTACTCGGATTACTTGCGCAGCATACAGACTGAGTAAGTATGGTGAAAGAATATAGTTCTGGTGCACACCTTTCCTAATTTTAAACCATTCAGTGTTCCCTTGTTCTCTTTGTCTATGCACATTTCCTCGTGTGTTTCGGGAGTACTCATTCTCTGCAATGTTGTCTATAGCCTGTCATGATACACACAATCAAAAACCTTTGCATAGGCACAAAGTGACTGGCTTACAAGTTTTCAAGAGTGAGACTAGTTTCAGAGGGTGCGGGGGAGGGTAGAATCTCCACTGAGTAGTTTCCAACCTGGCTGGACTGGGCTGGTGAAAGGAGATGGGGATAAGACTCTTATGGTTCAATAGTGAATAGTTGTTATCAGGACTGACTGTGAGTGTTGCAAATGTAAAGGAGGGGAGTGGTTGATCTGGCATTCCAGGAGCAGAGGACCCTAGGACCATCAAGGGAGAAGAGCGGAGTGCGGAACCCTATCCAGAGAAGCAGAGATGGAGGCAGAGTTGGTGACATGGAGAGAGGGAGTGGCTGGGGACTCTGGACTCAGGAAGGGAGAGGGACTGTGTGCCGATGGCCAGGGGCAAGCTTGTGGGGTATACTCTTTGGTTGTTGAATGGTTATATACTCCTGAGTGTTTTAATGTACATCCAAAAACAAAAACAAAACCAACAACAGAGGGAATGGAAGCAAATGCTGTTGAATGATGATGCATGGAGGGGATTGTAATCATTGCAATGAAATGAAATACAATAGGATGACTGTAAAGCTGATGTTCTCCCATGTAAACTCTCACTCAATTCACGATAAAAACTTAATTGAAAAAACAAAAACAAAAAACCTTTGCATGGTCAATAAAGTACAGGTAAACATCTTTCTGGTATTTTCTGCTTTCCACCAAGAGCCATCAGACTTCAGCAATGATATCTCTCATTCCACATCCTCTTATGAATCTGGCTTGAAGCTCTGGAAGTTCTCTGTCAATGTATGGGTACAGCCATTTTTAAATTATCTTTAGCAAAATTTTGTTTGCCTGGGATATTAACGATATTGTTCGAAGATATCTGCATTCCTTTGGGTCACTTCTCTTTGGAATGAGCACAGATAAAGATGTCTTCCAGTCAGTTGGCCAGGTAGCTGTCATCCAATTTTCTTGGCATAGATGAATAAATGCCTCCAGTGCTTTAGCAGTTTGTTGAAAGATTTCAATTTGTATTCCATCAATTTCTGGAGCCTTGGTTTTCACTGAGCTTCCACTTCACCAAATACCATGGCCTCTCCAGGGAGGTTCCTGGAGTTAACATGTCCGAAGTATGAGCGATTAAGTCTTACCATCCTGGCTTCTAAGGAGCATTCTAGCTGTATGTCTACAGATTTATTTGTTCTTCTAGTAGTTTATGGTACTTTTAGAGTCCTGGTATGGCCCTGTGAGTTAATGCACTAGACTTCAAAGTCAGTTTGAATTACAAGGTTGGTGGTTCAAGCTCACCATTTGCTCCTTGGAAACCCTCTACAGGGTTGCTATGGGTTGGAACCAACTCAATGGCACTTAACAACAATATTCTTCTCCAACACCATAAAAGTTTGTAGATATTATTACTTCAAATGTGTGTTAACTGAGGAGATACTTATAGGAAGAATCGCAGGAAAAAGAGAAGAGAGAGAGAGATGAGACTAAGTTAAGAGAGAAAGAATAGAGGAAAAGAGATTTCAAACATTTTGTAGATGGAATTAACAGTGAAATGCATGAGAAGAGGTTAAGGGATAAGAAGTAGAAAGGCATCAAGGATAACTATAGTTTGTCTTACCTGGGGCTCTGACTAGATGGGCAATGCTGTGTTAGTTTAGTTAAAGCTCAATGGAGGTCAAAAGTCAAAAGAACAGTAAGTACAAGACTCAAGGGTCCACTCCAACTTCCATTTTTCAATGTTCTGATTCACTCCTTTGCATAGTTGTCTTCTTTTCATTCCAAGGGACTGTCAGGTTAATTTGCCTAGATAGTTACTGTGTGGTATGGATTAAATTGTACCCCCTCAAAAT